TTGGATACATCACAACATAGTGAGCACTCTCTTCTCAGCTATCATTACTAGTTAAAAGTGCATTTTTAAGCTATCATTATTAGCTTAGATTAAGCACACTTTTCTCATTAATCACTACTGGTTTATAATGAGCACCTACTTCTCTGCTATTACCACTACCTTGAAGTTAAGTTTACTTAATTATCAATTCTAGTAGCTCTTAACTTTAGTACACACTTATCTATGTAGTCTACCTTGGTAGTAGAGTAATTTGCTTTAAAGAATATTCTTCAAAAACTACTATTTTACAAGTAGTATTATTCCCTCCTAAATAAGCAGATATGATGTATAACTCAAATAGCTTATGACTAAAATGGCTATTCATCACCCTCGTGTTTTTTACTACCAAGTTGAGAGCTAGAATCAGCTAACAGATTTTCATCTTCATCTTAGATTATGTGCACCTTATTAATCATTTTAGCTTATAGCTAAGCTAACTAGTTTGCAGCTTAGTAACATTTTAGCTTTTAGCTAAATTGTACATTATAGCTAACCAGCTTGATTTAGCTTGTCTCAGTGTACTACCTTAGTGTATCTATAACATTTTCTATTAAACTCTTTAGAGTTATCAGAAAATCTTCTCTTATTTAGCCCATTCACAACTATACGTGTCTTAGATGCTAGTATAGATCTTTTTCCCTTGACTATCAGGAGAATTGACATAACTAGACTAGTCAATTTTTGTCTATTATATTAAACACACAAACCAATCATGAACTCATACAAATTTAATAGTATCACACATTAAATAAACTATATTGTAAAATTGAATTACTATGCATACTAAGTAATTCAATTACATAGCTCAATATTATAATCTCAAATAAAAGTAAGTACTTATATAAATAATATTGTATCACATGATTAATTATATCAGATAACTAATCTAAGAACTAATAATATCTAGGAGAACACATTGCTGCCTTAAAGCTTTGTGACTCATTCTCCAATAAACATGCTAAAAAATCAGGACCAAAAGATTTAAGCATTCTAACCCTCTTACTACGTCTAAGCTCATCCTTATTTTCATTATATGCACAAGAAAATGAGATGCAATACTGTTATAAGCATAATCTATTAAATGTTTTATGTAACGATCCACTCCACCACATGGAATGATATTGTCCGCTTTGGGCCCGAGCCCGCATGACTTTGTTCTTGGTTTTATCCCAGAAGGTCTCATACCAATTGGAGATAACACTACCATATAAAAGCACTTCACATTTCCCTTCCCTAAGCGATGCGGAACTGTACACCTGTAGTTCGCCCAGTGTGGTAGCCTGTCGGTGCCTCTTGCACCCACTCACGACACACCCACCCACAAGGTTGCCATATTTTAGGTCTTACTTTAACTTTCTTAAGAGTAGGAACTGCAACCTTAGTTAGACACCCCCACACTTAAGAACTTATAGGAAGGTTTTCGACCTTTCTATATTTCATATGGTGTCACATTAGTTTTCTTTTGAGGTATTTTATTGAGAATATAATTTGCAGAAAGCAAAACTTTCCCCCCACAAATTCTGAGTCAAACCAGAACTTGTCAATATAATATTCATCATTTCTTCGTGAATGATACCATGTTCTGAACAAATATCAGCAAATGATGTTTCGTATTCACGAACTCTATCATTTCTTAACACCTTGATCTTTTTGTCAGGTTGATTCTCAACCTCATTTTTGTAATGTTTAACCATTTCTAAGGCTTTATCTTTACTTTGTAGCAAATAAAGATATCATCTTGTGCAATCATTGATAAAAAGAATAAAATACATTTTTCTACCTCTAATTGGCACAAATTTAAGATAATATGATATACTACATAATATTATATTACAAAATTAAAATAATTCAATCAATATTGAATTATATAAATAATTCAATAGTCTACTTATATAACATTCTTCAATTTCATATAATATTGAGCACATCAATATTTAGCATATTATCATATAATAATGTATAAAAAATTATTTTATTATATCTCAACTATTAGTATAATATATACTTGTTTATATCTTAAATAGAAGCATATAATAAAATCTACGCAAGGAATGAATCTGTCTTAAGATTATTAGTAAATATATGCTTCATGTAACATTTAATATATAACTAGCCTTACACTAATATGCCATGAGGTAATTAATAAAATGCTAAAAAATAAATTATTAAATATTCAACTAGATATTTAATTAAAATGTAAATTAAAGTAATAAAATAATGATTACTAAATAAAGAACCTGGACCGAGGCTAGTATTGGATACTATATCGTTAAGACAGATTCGCCCCACTATGGTGCTAACGGACTCAGTGGCGTCTATCTCCCAAGATACAACGGTCTACATCCACCAGTGGCAGCACTACAAACTCGTGGATACGGCGAACCTCCTTCGTGTAATACTCTCTTTGACTAAAAAAATGCATCTATACTATATAAATAATGAATTGGGTGCAATTCGAACGAAATGGCTCGGACTAAATTAAATATGGCTCAATGAAATTGGTTTTGGGCCTAAGTGGCTCAGACCACTTAACCATGGCTTAAACCCACATCCACTTAGGTTGGTTTCATCTTGAGAGTGGGAAAGAATAATGAATTGCACTTTAAATGGCAACCAAGGATGGGTATTTATAGAGAAACTGGTGCCTTTTGGTTAATGGACGTGTCCCTTTACTCGTATCCCTTCTACAAAATATGGTTTAAACTACCCTTTACACACCTATTCACTTTGGGTGCGGTTCACATTGAACAGACATAAGTTTGGTTTGCATCTTTTCCTCTCACAACCCTTTATTTTGGGGCTACTAGAGGGATCAGACAAGGGTGTCCCTTATCTCCACTCTTGTTTTCTTTTGTTACAGAATACTTTAGTACTTTAATGTTAAATGGGATTCAATCTGGTGGTATTTATGTGTGCAAAGTTGTGGCTGCTGCTGGTATGAATATTTCTCATGCTTTTTATGCAGATGATCTTTTTATGGTGGTTAAGGCTGATATTTCAACTGCAAAAAATGTGGATACTGTCTTCAAGAAATTTACTGTTGCCTCTGGTCTTCAAGTTAATCAAGATAAGAGTTCTATCATTTTCTCTAAAGCTGTTAGATATTGAAGAAGGGTGTCTAGAATTCTTCAATTTCAGACTGAAACTTTACCTTTAAAATATTTGGGTTTGCCTTTGTCAAATATCAAATTGAGGAAAGGTGATTTTGGAGTGTTACTTGACAAAGTGAATCTGAATTTGGCTCATTGGAACACTATTAACTTATCTCTTGCAGGAAGACTTGAGTTGATTAAATCAGTTCTCTACTCCTACCTTTATCATTGGTTGTTTGGGTTTAAAATTCCTTAGGCAATTAAATATCAGTTGGAGAAAAGGCTCAAATGGTTTCTATGGACTGGAAAGCAAGATATGAAGAGAATGTCTCAAGTAAAGTGGAGTCAAGTAACTCTTCCTGTGACTGAAGGAGGGTTTAATATTAGGAGAGTTTAGGACATTGATTTTGCAGCTAAGCTGACCTTGTGTTAGAATTTTGTTCAAAATAAAGAGAAGCAGTGGATTCAATGGCTACAGGCTGTTTATCTTAAACAAGCTTGTTTTTGGACTGTGATACCAAAATTGGGTGCTTCTTCTATATGGAAGCAAATGTTGGAGACTAGACAGATGCTTTTGGAGAATTTTGAATTTAAGGTTGGGAATGGGTTTCAGTTCAAGCTGCTCACAGATCCACGGTGTAATCAGCAGTCTTTAGTCCAGAAATTTGGAGCTAACAGGTTCAGAAATATTGACAGAAACACTATGGTTGCTACTATACTTCAGAATGGCTTATGAAATATTTCAATTGACTTACTTGTTGAGGTCTATACTGTTATTTAAAGTGTGGAACTACAAAATGGTGCTGATACGATTGCTTGGAAGCATGGTCCATTCTCTTTGAAAGCAACTTGGAGTTCTTGTAGACTTAAAAAACATCAAGTTCAATGAAGCAAGTTATATTGGGGTTGCTGTCAACCTAAAATTGCTGTGGGAGTACTATTATCCTTCATAATAAAAACCTCAGCTTTGTTAATCTGCAGAAACGTGGCGTGAGTCATGCGCCCATTTGTCATAATTGTTTGGTTAATTCTGATTCTAATGATCACTTATTCTGTGAGTGTACTTATGTTGTTGTTATTTGGCAAGAACTTGGTTGTTTACTACATATGGAGCTGCCTAGATTTTCTTCTATGCTTCACATGATAGATTGGTTTATTAGGAATTCTATTGTCAAATGTACAAAGTCTAAGGTGTTATTTGGAAGATTTGGTCCAGTAGGAATTCTTACTTACATGAGGGAATTAAAGATTCTTATGACTTTGCTGCTAGGAGTATTATTTGGGATGTGCTGCATTATCTCAAGCTTAGGCTGGAAGACTTATTGATCATTTGTCAATGAAGGAAGCAGCTACAGATGGGTATTTGCCATTGAAGTTCAGTTTGTTTTGCTTGTTTTCTTTTTCTGTTTTCGTTTTGGCTGGAAGTGGAGTTTGTCCACTTCATTTGCTGTATTGGAGTTTCACTCCTTGTGTAATTGTACTCTTTGTTTTCAATTAAAAAAAATAAAAATAAAAAATAAAAAGATGTTAATGTCATTGATGGGGGGAATGGTAGCAGTAGTAATGTTGCTGTACTGAATGCACTTAATTTATCTGATGATGGTGCAGCACAAATGGGATTCGTTCGAACTCAGCTGACGAATCAAATGTGGGCATCATTCAGAGGTAATGCTAGATAAAGTTACTTTTATAATTCTCTAATGTTTTGCTTTGATTAGCTATTTGTGTAATTCTCTAATATTTTGTTTTGATTATGTATCACTTAAATTAATGTTTGTACAACTAAAAGTGCATATGATACTTGAAGTAATTCATGTAACTCTTTTATTATATTTTAATTTAGTCAAATTTTAATTAAACTTGATATATTATATTTGTACAACATTTATTAAATTAAGAATGCTAGCTAAAATGTATTAAATAAAAGAGTGAGGTACAATATTAAATTTTTTTTTTTTTCTTAGTTCAGAAAACTACAACCAAGTAGTTTTATGAATTTTTGTTTTTCGGAAACTGTTTTGTAAATTCTCTTAACCAAGCAAGTTTATAATCTGAAAAAACTGAAAACTGTTCTCTGTTCTCATTCTCTGAAAATTGTTGAAAACAGTTTTAAAAAATGCAATCCAAGCAAGGCCTTAACTTCTTTAAAATTTTCAAATTTTCAGCTTCTACTCTTAGTATTAAGTATCTTGGGGTTCCACTTGTCACAACCAGAATCACCTGATGAACATTGATTGAATTTTTTTGGTTGATAGAATTACTAAGAATGCACCACAAAGGTTGTAGTCTAGTGGTACTTCCTACCTTCTAAAACAGAAGGTTGATGGTTCAAATCCCCATAAAGGCAAACTGGGTATGTGAGTTTCTTGTCAAGGTTAAAAAAATAATAATAAAGGAAAAATAAAACCTTTTTTTGTTGGTAGGCTGTTTTAGTTTCATGGTCATTGGAGATTTTAAAGGCATTGTCAGGAAATTCTTGTGGAATGGTGGTAATCTATCTGACAGGTGGTGTAAAAGTATGGCAGAATGGTTATTATCTAAATTCTCATTTATCATTTGGATTGCAATCAAAGGCACCATGCACATTTTTGTTCTTTGAATGTCTTGGCCTCCTAATAAACTAAATGTCATATTGAACTGGTGCAACTTCCATTTGAAAAGCAAGCTTATCTTCATTGTTGGTTGTTTGTCATTGGCGGCAACTCTACATTTCATTTGGCTAGAAACAAATGCAAGATTTATATGAGAAAATTGAATCTCCTCTGCATCAAGTTCAAATCAAAATTCTATAATTTTAACTTCTAGAGATGCGATTTTGCTTCTAAAATTTGTGCTTCCTGTTAACCAAAACCAACTAATTTATGATTAACATACAGTACCCGAATATATATGCATAAACACATAGGCAAGGAATATATATGGGAAGGGAAGGGAAATGATTAAAGCGAGGGAGCCAGTGCTCAGAAATTACCACATCTTTGTTTCGCTATTGTCAACGATAAATAGGTGTTCCATCTGGAAGCATCAGATCTAAGGTTCAACTCCTCTTGCTGCACCTTGAGAGGGTGGGTGTGTGAGTATCATCAACTGAGAAAAAACAAGATTGGAGTGTTCAAGTTTCCAAGTGCAAAGGCATTAATACATAATATACACTTGCATTGAGTTTTCCAAAAAGGGGTGCCATCTTACAAATTTATTTCATGATCCACTCTAGCATTAAATTCAAGATTTAATCAAACTGAAACTGTTCTCTACACTTAACCCCCAGTTTCATTATTCCCATTCCTAAACCCTGCCACTATCAACACATTGAGTGTTTCTTCCCTCCTCTTCAGTGTTGGTTTGAAGAAAAACTATTTCAACTCCGTTCCTCAACTCCAAGGATGTTCGGCTTATTTGAGGGTCATCACTAGATTTAGGCCTGATCTGAAGAGACGTTTCACCACCATTCTCACGTGGAAAATTCTGCAACTAGTTTCTGGTTGGAAATCTGGCAGTTCATCAATTGAAGCTTTAGCAGAATCAAGGAGGGAAAGGCGGCAGAGTGGACAGGTGGTGTGAGTGGCGAGCCAGTTGTCGATGCAATTCATATGAAATGTATGTCCACAAGCAGGTATCTGCTGAAGCCTATCCTCTGCTTGGTAGTCACTGAGGCATATAGAGCATCTACGTAAAGAGAGAGAGAGGTGCCTCGTTAGACAAAAGCAAGGTGAAGAAATTACAGGCTCTAGTCCACAATTATGTGAATTACTAAATCTAAGTAAACCACTGGTTTATACCTTCAACATCTAATGAAGGTAATTGCTATTTTTTCATATATGTTAATCCTCTCTCTGCCATGTCATTATTATTCATGGCATGTATAACATCAATTTTAAGATCTACGGAAGCCCAAAATAATAATACTAATAATAATAATAATAATAAGAAGTCCAAGGAATATAAAAATCCTCTCCCTTCAATGATATTATTATTCATAAATCATAAAATGTAAAACATCAGTTTTAGGATCTGATGAGAGCTAAAAATGCCAAAAGAGAACAAGAAAAAATAAAGTCCAAGGAAAATAAACCAAAAATATTTATATCTGAGATATTGCAAATCAAGCCTTAGTCTGCTGTATAAAGGAGGAATTGCAGCCTTCTCCATTCATATCTGTACATATAGTACTCCTACTCACTCACATTAATCTAAAGATGATAATTACTAGAAGTTACTAGCATGAAGTGAAAGTGTGCTAACAATTGTTGTCTCTATTGATAATAATGCAAGTACATAAAACCTACAACTAGAATACTGATAGGCCAACTAAATTACCTCTAAAAGGGGAAAAAAAAGTACATATGCCTTGAAATTCCAAATAATAATAATATCCCTCATATTTGACCTTGGTAGATTTCCCTTATCACAGGTTCATCACAAAGCAGCTTTCTAATGTGCTCATCATATCCCAAGAAGTCAATTGGAAACCAATGAAACTGAAACATACACCCCATAAGGCTTGAATGCTTTCAACATTATGGCATATGACCTTTACTGGATTTCCTCTCTTCTTTCTAGACATCTCACTTCCTTAATGTGCTCCACATCTCATCAGATGCAAACCAATAGATCTTGTTGTCAAATGTCTACAGTGAAGCCTGCTCAAGTTGCACATGGAAATCACAACCTTTTAGGTGAATTAAATTTTTTACGATACTCGCAGATTCAGCATTCTGATATGAGTTGCAAAGAGAGATCTCATTCATGAAGTGCAAAAAATCAACTTTTCAAGGTTTTTAAAGGAAGTTTTCATCATCATCCTTGCCTTAATCTCATATGAATGGGGTCGGCCAAAAGGAAGCTTTGTGTCTTCAAATAAAATTCCTCTGAAACAAGTACCATCACGTATAATGAGAAAGTAATGGACCTCATAAGCTAATGACATATGAATAATAAACAGAACTTGAATGTTGATTTTGACTAAATGCTCTGAATCAGCTGCATGGGTTTGCTGTACTATTGTATTTCCATCAAATAACCTATTTTTCATTTTATTCTTCTCTCCTTTTGATCATTTCTATCAATTGATCATGGAACCTACAAGACTTACATAAGACACATTTCATCCCTTGGTCAAAACCATCTGTGCCAGTTTCTCCTATTCTTATTCCACTAAATAAGTAGATACATATAATATCAATCACAATAGAGTTGTTCCTATACAATGCATATTGAGTACTAATACGCCCTAATACCAAGTGAGGATTGTGCTTGCAGAAGGCTGGAAGCTTTAGGATTGAATTGTAAGGTGATGTGTATACCTAGAGGGGAAAAGAATAGGTATACTTGCTCTTTTTGATTGATTTTAAACTTCGATTATTATCAAATCGAAATTTTAATTCAATTTATCAATCAACCAACATAAAAGCAAGCACTAATGTATAGACACTACATTTTTACATGAAAAACCTGAACCAAGAAAAATCATAAGGCCTCATCCAGAACTAGCCAATCAACCATATGAAGAAAAAGGCAACAGCCTAGAACCTGGACTCAGTCTTACACCTGGTAAAATTTGCCAAGACCGACTTTCTGTTGTTAACGCCACAATCTGACGTTTGAAACTCACAAGCCCAGTTGGTGATTGTCAACAAAATTGACTCCCTTGGTGCACCTTCCTCTATGATGATTAAAGCCACATGAAACAATTATCATTCTCTACAAGGAGAACAAATCCATTGAAGTTGTGAAGTATTCTTTGATAGTCTGTGCTGCTGGTGCTGCTAGTTTCTCTTAAAAGATGATGCTTCAATGGTCCAAGAATAACTTTGAATGATCACACATAAGTTATAATATTCTCATAATAAATCTAAACCTATGTTTACGTAGGGGAAAAATTTTTCTCACAAATATTTTAATACTTCATAATCCAAGTGTTGAGTGTGACAGAATGCAAAATCACTCATTATGTGAGTTGTATATGTGTTATGAAAAACTCCAGTAACATTTTAATTGGACTTAGGAACCCTTACCCATAGACTTAAAATGATTAGAAATCAATTTGGAAACTTTTAGACATGTTTTGAGTAACTTAGAAATAGTTTTAAAGTTAAAACCTCGTATTTCGATCCAGATAAGGTTGAACAAGCACAAAAGCAAAGTTGTTGACCAGTACTTGAGAAAAAAATAAAATAAAATTTGCACCACCACAACTTTCCAAAGTATGTGATAAGACTATGTAGATGGTCTAACTTTTGAAAATATGTCAAGGGGGGACACAAACTCAAAATTAATTTAATTGTGTATCATTGGAAATTTTATCAAGTCTACTATCTGGACATATAAAGACTATCATGAGATTCCATGTATGTAATTAGTTATGACTCCAAAAAGGCAGATGGCTTGAATTTTGACTGTATTGAATACCCCATGTGGGTAATAACTGTAGAGTTTACTCAAAACTTGTTCTAAGATTTGGAGTCCGTGTAATCATGTTTTTATTTTGAAAATTTTTAAAACCTTATCCATTTTAAGTTTAAGGTCTACTCACATGAATTTACAATTTTACATTGTCCTAATGTACGTGATTCAAGTTGATAGAGTGCTGATTTCATATTAACATGCAATCTCCACGTAATTTCATTTAGTCTACAATAATGTTTTGTGGGGGTTCTTTTACAGTAACTGCATAATAATAGAGATATCAATAACACAAGTCTGAGTGACACAGATAGCACCTTTAGGACGAAAGAGAATTAGACTAGCTGGAGGGTTCTGTGGTGAAGGTAGGAATGTTCTTGCCTCTTGTGAATGTTCAGTTTTCAGTCCTGACTCTATGCATGCATGGGAGTCCTATTTATAGCCTCAAGACCATTGGGTAATGCCCAGCAGTTCAGTCTCGAGACTCCTCTTAGAGTCTTTGCCTATTTTGGTAGGCAATCATGACCCTTTTAGGTCTATAGGGTCAGTATAGTATTTTGGCCCATGCCATCATTCGGCCTGGCATGTTGATTCTACATCAGCATTCAATGCGCCCATCACTTCTAAGACAGCAGTAGATGGGAGCATTAAATGTGACTATAAGTGTTTCAGTCGAGGCATGTGGTTCACCATCCCTTTGGCTAAACCCATAGCTAAGGCAGCATCTAGCTTCTTATCCACCAATCCAAAGGTCCTTTGGGGTCCCAAGACGGGTGGTGATACCCCTCGAGATCATCCTACCATGATCTCGACGTGGTGCTACTCCATTCCCTACTATGATGACTTCAAGAGCTCTAATCTAGCGAGCTCGAGCCCTGATTCGAGAGTTCGCTAGTTGGAACATGGCTGTGCTCATGGTTCCTCTTGACACTTCCACTATAACGTGACAGTGCTTTGGTGGGACCTACCTGGGATCGAGATTCATCCCCTACATGTTTTCAATCACATATCTCTAGCAGACTAGTTAGCAAATCAACATGACTGAGAGATGATCTAGACCAACCCAAACTAAACTAAAACAATTCAACAAATTACAACACATGTTTTGATCATGAAAAGTGTCTACCCAGTGACTCTACAGAGGTTCCAACATTTCAACTACCGAACAAGGCTTACCAATTCTATAAAAACACTCTAATAATTTGAACCGTCAAAATACATATTTTAAAGGACTAAAACAATATCAATTCATTCTAAACCATAATTGTTGGCACATTATTCCCCATAATGAAGCCTCAAGTAAAGAATTTTCCTTTAGTTTGTAAAGTACCTTGATTATGCCGAGGTGCTTTGTCTCAATTTCATTTAACTTTTTTCTTTTTCACTCAAATCACTTTGTAAAATATCCTTTATCAGGCCACAACTAGCCAGACGTGTGCTTCAGCTTTACATCTAGGTATCCTTAGTCCTCAGATTTTCACGCATTTATAACAAAATACAAGATGAGAGAAGCCTATTTCCTTCCCTTTTACTCTCTTAAATCTAATGAAGGATGTTTTCATGCATTTCTACCAGACGACTAACATAATCTTGAAGAAATTGTTCTTGTTTTCCGAAGATATTTTACTTCTGAAAGTAAAAAAAACACTTCCAAGATGCTAACAGAAAATGGGATTTAAAAATTCAAGGGTTCCATTTTTGTATTTTGGAAGCTGATTTGATAGTCTATTGCAGTTTGCCAAATGGCCTTCAATTGCAGTTTTAATTCTAGATGCTGAGTTGACTAAACTTGAAATAGAAAATCAATGGCATTAAATTCACAAAGGTAAGAAAAATGAACACCCAACCCATCAATCCATGAAAGCTCACTCACTGGGAATCTCTGACGGAGAAGCTCTCTCTGAATACAATAATGGGTAGCATCTCTCTCAGTTCTTTCTTCAAGCCCAGTTCAGACTGTCAAACAACAATTAATTAAAAAAATAATAATATAACAATAAAATTTATATGAAAAAAAAAAAAAAAAATGGTAGAAAAACAATAAACACAATGAAATGAAATGATTTTACCCTGGAGATAGACGGAGTTGTGATTCGTAGCGACGACCAATCAAGCCTCCGACGTAGGCGAAGATAGCAGCAATAGAAGAAGAGGAGAAGGATGAAAGTGAAGAAGATTGGTACAGAGAAGATGAAAGATTGGTATAGTGGGTCTGAATCGCGATGCCGATGTGAAGAAGACATTATCAGCGCCCAAAAACACTTTTCAAACTCCAACTCCAGCCCTCCCTCCCCAAAATCAATTTATATATTTTTCACATGATGAGAATCCAAGAATTTAAGATTGCTTAGATAAGAAGGAGAAAATACACCACCAATTGAGAAAGAAATATATACTAACTAAGATCAGAATTTGAGGTGAGGAAAGAAGAATTGGATCAGAATTTAAAATAATGTTAATTGACCCACAGTCAAAACCATGCTTTTTTAAATTCACCCACCCTAAAGATCGACCCCTACGACTAAATTTATTGACATCTCCAAATAATGTGTAACCAACTTCTAAGTTGTATGGAGAGAGAGAGATTATTAAATTGAGCCTTAAAATAATATATTATTTATAAATTTTTTTAAAGGAATTATTTATCTAATTATATATTTCGATAACTAATTAAATTACATTTCAACAATTCAATTATATACTAACAATAAATTAATCCTTCCATTGTTTTGTGGAGATGTATTCTATGTTGCGTGGGAATTTTGACTTACATATTGTCAAGCAGTGAATTTGGAAAATTTTAGAACAGTAGTAAATATAGCGCGGTTTGAATTAAAAACTAGGTTTAATATAATGAAAAATTAATTTAAATAGGGCTTAAGAAAAATGCATGAAGTCGCAACTTAACATTCGATTTAGATATATTTAATTACTTTTAAAAATAATTTTTTTAAAAAGATAATAATTTTTTATTAAAAAAAAAAATTGTAAAAAGACCCTTTAAGCAACTCCATATAGGTCTACATTAAGGATTCAATTATGATAGGGTAAGTGTTAGGCACTCCTAAAACATCCATGAAAATTTCATGGATATCAAAATTTTATTTATTTATTTTTTACATTATCACATTGTTATCTTTATTTTTAAACATTCTTAAAATTAGCATTTAATTTTTGAAAACGGTAATGCTATTTGGATGAAAGTTCATAGATGATAAGTGCTGAATGTTGTACATTCGAGCTCTTTAAGTTGCATATGTTAATGTCTTAGTGATGCGTTTATAGTAATACTTATGCCATTTTATTGGTTTCAAGTATTTTCAAGTATTCATCTTCAAAAGCGGTCAATTCTATCTATTTTGGGTTTTTGATGATGTTTCCAAGGTTCAAGGGAGCTACCGGATTGTTCGAGGTCGGTTTAGAGTATGAAGCCAACCTACTAGAAAAAAGGATCGATCGCAAGTCCATCGGGAGAAATCCTGGAAGTTGCGGGAATTCATATTTGTTCTCTTTACTAATCCTACATGGGCCAGACTTCCTCCAAAGGTTGTAGCACGAGTTGAGGGCCGTTTTGGCTAATATATGGTATAATTAATGACTTTTGAAGGGGAGATTACATAAGAGAAGACCTAGCAGAGTTTTGGCAGCTTTGAGGATTCTACCACTGTTGAAGAGCTTTAGAAGCTTGAAGAAGGTGATTCCAAACAGATTTGCAATATATAGAGATAACGTTTTTCTCATCGATGAAGCCATCTACCTTCTCTATGAATAGCTAAACTCCTTCTTAGGGAATTGAAGTAACCCTAGCCAAGTAGCATGGTTTAATTATATTTCTTTTTGGAAAATTTTCTATATATGTATATTGATTTCATAATTTGGTGAATTCCATTAGTAGTACTAATGTAATTGGATTTAAAGTTTATAATCAGTTTTAATAAAAAAAATTGTCTTGTCTTAGAAATCGGTTTTGTTATTGTTGAATCCAAATTGTTCTTATTTGTAACGACCTAAATTCGTGAATCCAAAATACTAACCGGGTCTTTACCCGGAGTAGAGGACACCCAAGGGTAAATGGTCATTTCAAATCAAACATGGAGGATGAGTTGATCCTAAGTAAGTCAAATGGGACTCTATAATGTCACATTAATCATTTAGACCCATTATGCAGGCTTGTAATGACCACAACTATGGTTTCCTATAATTACTTACTCTTGGGTTGAAGGATTTTCCCGACACTGCTTCACTAAAACATTAATAACTACCAGTGTGATTGGAATTTGAGGATTTGGTTGACATCATTGGAAATCTGACTTTAAGCCGGTCAGTTTGGAGCCTAATTTTGGTTTAAAATGAGGAAGTTGTGATCATTTGGAGTCTAGGGTGCAAAGCATGTGGGTGAATAGTGCAGTGCTCAAGCTCTAGCTCAAAACTGCTCGAGCTCCACCCCATAGAGCTCGAGCTTTGACACTCCTAGGTGTATAACTCTCAGGATCTGTAGAGACCGGTCCTTTTTTTCAATTTTTCCAATTTTTTTTCTTTTATTTTGTTACGTTGTGATACATGTATGGGGTTTTAGGGTTTCTTTTGAGCCTTTCTTTAAGTTACGAACTCTTAGAATTGCATTACGAACCTTTTCCCCCATTTTTGAATTTTTGACCCGGGAGGTCACCGTGTGGGTCCAGGAAGGATTTCTGGGTTTGGGAATTATTTTTCAATGTCGTTTCTTTTGTTGTTATTATTTTGGACACCAGTATTTTTACTTGTACAGTTTTCATCTATTTGAGTGTGTTTGGACAATGTTTGCTTCTCGAGGTCATATGGTGCCCACTCTTGGGATATTTTTAGAGAGTATAAAGGTGAGAAAGGAGAGAGAGAAATCAGAACTCTCTCCCTCTTGTTCGGATCCTCTCTCCTCCATTTATCCTCTTTTCTTCTTCTTAGATCTACTTATTCTCTCTAGCTTTTGGTCGGCTTCCCTTGTGATTCATCCTTTATCATAGGAGGGTTTTATGTTGGCCTTAGTAATGGCTTTCATTCCATTTGATCACTTTTCGTTTTGGACCGTTCTTGAGTTTTTTATTTGAGTGCGGGTTTAGATTTGGGAAGGGCCGCAAGAGGGTTAGTTGTTGCCTTCGTTGTCCCTATCGTTACCCCAAAGTTTCATCGCATTTGGAGCATTTTCGTTTTGGTGTCATTTGAGGTTTTGAGGTACGGGTGTCTTATGCTAGTAATTTACATTTGAGTTTGGGTCTTATGGATGTGGAGAGATGTAAAACATGCTTATTTGCTAAGTGTATGTAATACCCCTAATTTTAAATGGATTTAATTGGGATCTAATTATTTCTTTTATTGCATTTTTAATTGATTATTTTTTTTTCCCTAAATGTGGAGATTTTATAAATAAAAATGTACATTACAATAATTTTAAGAAGGCATACCTTCTTTTACAAAACATGAGCTAGAATAAGCCCATTTCCAGTAGTCACCAAACAACATCAAAAACATTATAATGCAAAAACAGTTAACAAATCATGTAAACTAAAATTGAGATATGCAAGCACATCCCAAATGATGGATTGAATAACAAACTTAGCCTCATGTTTGCAACCATTATGGAGGGTTGAGTTTCTCATTAACCAAATCTTCCATATAGTAGCAGCAAACAGAGCACACAAAATCTTGGACTTAGTATTATGTATGCTAGTTTGCACCACAAATGTGACGACCTTGGTTTTTAGGCCAGCGTGTCCTGTGATGAACTGAAGGTTGACCTGATAACGGATCTGAACGCGGAAGCAAAAATAGAAAACAAGACTCTAAGAAGTCAAAGTGACCTTCCATGAGGTCGTGGAACTCAATAAGAACTAATGCGGGAACGAATGATCAGAAAAAGACCGAACAGGCCCCCAAGGGCAAAATGGTCATTTCTGAAAATATAAAATCGGGTGCTACTGAGCACACCACTAGAAAGACAACAAAAATTTAATCAAAATAGATCCAAGAATCACTTGATTCAGAGTCCGGATGAAGAAGATATGAAACTCAAGTTTCATAAAAATCACATTTAGGGGTTCGAAATCAATGCAGCAAGGGTACTTCGCAAGGGGTAAAAAAGGTCTTTTCAGACAAAATTGGATGCAACTGAGCATACCGTTAGATAGACTGGGAAAAATTAAAGAATCTAGACTCAAGAATCACTTGATTCGGAGTCCGGACGAAGAAGATATGAAACGTCAAAGTTTCATAAAAACCAACTTCTGGGTTTAAAATCAGTGCGGCAAGGGTACTTTACAAGGGATAAAATGGTCTTTTTAGATATAATTTGATGCAACCGTGCATAAAGTTATATAGACCAGCAAAAACTAATAAACTTGGACTCAAAAATCACTTGATTTGGAGTCCGAATGATGAAGATATGAAATCTCAAAGTTTAAAAAAATTAGACTTTCTGGGTTTCAAGTATGAGCAGGGCCTGCACACATTTTCCGAATTCAAATGGGATTTTGAGGGCTTAAATGACATTTTTTGAAAAAAGTTGTGAACAACCCCTCCCCCCCCCCCCCCAAATCATGTTTTCTACATGACCATGTCAAGAGAAGATTTTATTTTACAAGTGAAATACCCGAAATGCCCCTTAGATCAGCACTTTTTTCGGAAAAAATCTGGAAGGACCAGATTTTCCAGATCTGCGAGTTGTTTCGGCATTAAGATGATCTTTTTTGTAAAAACACGAAGAAGAACCCCCCCCCCCCCCTAAAATCACGTTTTTTACCCGGAGCGCATACGAAAATGAAAAAGAAACACTATGAAGTACCCAGAATGCCCCTAGATCAGGAAAGGGCAAGAAGTTGTAAAAAAAGCTGCTATAGCAAAGGAGAAAAACCGAACTTCGCATGGGATTTCTAGTACCAACACGACATTTTCTGGAAAAACACGAAGAAGAAACCCCCCCTAAAATCACGTTTTCTAAGTGACCATGTCAAGAACGGAATTTATTTCCCGAAGGAAAACCCCAAAATGCCCTAAAATCAGATTATGCAACAAAACTTCAAAATGAGTTCATAGGAAGCTCAAAACACAAACGATAAGGTTTTGCCCAGAAACGACCATGCACGCAAATGAAACTTACATATTTGGACGTGCTACAATGATCCACGACTTAAAAATACCACTGATGCAAAATCCGACCCCCCAACGGGCAAAAAGGCAAATATGGAACTTGGAATGAAAACTCAGAATCCAAAAATGTAAAATGGAGTCAAATGACCATTTGGCCCTTGGCCACACTTCATATAAGATTGATAAGACCCTATAAAAGAATGAGAATAGAATTCCCACACCCGATGCAACCATGGAGAAGCATTGACTTGCGATTTTTCAAGGTTTTCATAACATTTCATGAAGTTAAAAAGTTGCATAGAATACAATATACATGTCATTGGCCCCTGGCCTCATCTCATACATATCAAATACATTGAAAGGAGTGTACTTAAGCACAC